AATAAGGGAGTACTATGGTTTGCGCTATATCCGGGTACTATTCTATACTCACAAATCCGAACCCATGAAATGTACCCAGGTCTTTCCATAGAGGTATTTTAGCTGGGGGGTACTGTAGTCAGCGCCATACGGTAAAAGTTTAATAGAAGACTTATTCGATTAAAAAAATAAAATATTTATTTGCCATATTTATTGAGACTCTCATTTTACTCTTTTTTTGTTAATATCACAGAATCTTTTTTTGATACCGAATCAATTCAAAGAATCAATCTCACTTGCTTTAGCTAACAAAGTTATATTTACTGCGAAATTCTCGAAATTTTTTAGGTTTGCCTAGTTTATTATGTCTAGTAGTTGTAAGAAAAATAAGTATGTGATTTATACAGGTTTAATTCATTCTTTACATACATATGTAACTAATCCTTTAAACAGTGTGGTGGTTAAGGTTGGTATGGTTGGCGACATGAAAATTGGCAAAACCAGTTTGATGCATAAATTTGTAGATGATATTCACATAGTCGTAGAGGCTAGAGGTGCAATCTGTAAACTAGTAGTTAATATAAATAAACTGTAGTTTATTGTAAAACTGTAGTTAACAGTTTATTTATACATATTGTAATTCACAGTTCGTATCTCTACCTATAGTAGATTTGTATAGTGAATTTTTTAAATAATACAATTGGCTGATTTATCATGTATTGTTTAAATAATCTAGTCACCTATATTCTACTGTTTTAATGGTAATGGTGAAGGCCTGAACTAATCAAATAATATGTATATAGCTGGTTATTAGTATAGTACTGACATATTCGAAAATTTGTTATGTATTTTTTAAAATTGCATCTCCTCGACGAATATTCGAAATTTGAAAAAAGTAAATACATTAGTCTATGTGTTACCATTAGTACTTTAAACTCTTGTATCAAATTTTTAATATTTAAATTATTAAGCGAGTTATTTAAAAATTGGCTCTTTTAGATTATATAAATATAAGTTTATATAAAAAAAATTAATTACTAAAATAAAATTCCTCACGACAAGTTAAAAAGCATACTTTTTGAAACTGTTTTATATTATTTTTAAGTTCAAAGAATTAATACCACGAGAGAAGTTAGATTTCAAAAATCTATTACTTTCGTATAATAAACTCCTAATAAAAGTTATATTCATCTATGTAACAATATGATTATATTAAAAAAAATTGACTAATTGTTTTTACTATGGGTCTATATCAATATTTGTTACAATTAGTCGATCAATCTCCCAACGTAGTCGCTATACATACTTTCTCATTTATACATATATTAGCACTAATGACAAGCATTTAAGTAGAGATACGAACTGTGAATTACAATACATATAAATAAACTGTAGTTTATTTTAAAACTACAGTTAACTACAGTTTTACAATAAACTACAGTTTATTTATATTAACTACTAGTTTACAGATCGCACCTCTACATTTAAGAAAGCGAATTCAAAACTTGAATAATGAGGTACGTACGTACGTATATACAGTATGTATGGAATGTAAAAAAGTAGCAGCAGTATTATAAGACAGTTTGAAGGATTATGAGTTAGACACCATAGTTATGCAAACTTAGCTATGCTACTATAATTGATTGATTATACAGCGATTATAGTTGATTCAATCCATTTAATCCATCCGTAATAAATATAACCAAGCAATCTTTGGAATAAATCAATTTTGAATTATGATTAGTTTTGTGAAATATTTAAGTAAATATAAAAACTATACAATCATAAAAGCTAGAGAGAGTAATGAATAAAAAATACGAATAATTTGTAAGATTCCAAGAGTTTTTAGAAGTACTAGCACTTTAAAGTTGCCAAGTACTTTTTAATAAAAAAAGAAAATTAATATAGGAATTTGTTGAAAAAATTAATTACCTAACCTTTCAATGGGCAATTTAATTTTGCATATTCACACATTGTTGTTGAGTACTGTAGTTTGATTAGTATTTTTATTGCAGTACAATTCGCTCTACATTTACAAGCAAAACCACTTTCAATATACTAATATGTGAATAATTAATATGTAGATATTGTATTATTCGTATTTGTGTTGATTTTGTTCGATGGTTTCTAATAGTGAATTTGGCTAGGGCTGTTAAAAGACCGATCCTTTCGGTCCTAACTCCATAAATAGAAACTTCGATTAGGACTCGGTCCTTGAGTCGAGTCCGTGCATATAATAATAATAATCAGTATTGTATTTTGGTCAAATCGATCTCGATACAAATTAACCAATCACATGTAGAACAAATACATGCATATAGAGCTTTGTCTGAGACAGGCTTGAGTCGGTTCTAAAAAGTCCGTATGAAGTCGACTCAAGAACTGGGTCTGACAAGCTTTTTAACAACTCTAAATTTGGCTGTATCAATGACAAAAAGGCCTCAAATATAATATATCTTTTTGGAAATATTTATTACTGTCATTTTAGTAACAGACACAATCATTTATATTTAAATAAATATTTTTTGAATACCAAGTTTAAATTAAATAATCATTTACTTACATTGTATTTTTAAATAAAAAAAATGTAAATTTGAAATTTAATTTATTTTACAATTTATTACATTATATTTTTAAATAAAAAAAAATGTAAATTTGAAATTTAATTTATTTTACAATTTATTACATTTTAATTTAAATAATTTAAATTAACAAATATTATATTTTCTGTATTTTCTTGATCGATATTTATATAAAAAAGTATTCATAAAATTCCCATTCTATAAAAATTAAATATTTCATTTACCTTAATATAAACAACTTTTAGAACAATATCTTCGTTTAAGAGATCAAATGATATCTACGAAGCATACAAAAATTTTAAAATACATGAAAATAATTTACTAATAGCAGAAGATAAATTTTTAAACCATATCCGTGATCTATTTCAATATGCTGAAGAAAAAGAAAGTTGGATGATGTTTTTTGTCTTCTATAGAATTCTGAAAGCTTCAAAAAAAATATTTACATTAAATCCTTTATTTAATGGGAACAAGATTATATAATAAAAGAAACGCTAGTGATTTAGAAATAGAAAATGCTATCAATCTTATTAAAGAATCAGCTGAGCTTTGATGTGTTTATGCTAAAAATTTTCTTGTATTTTTTTTAGTCCACACTCTGTTGATTATATAATTAAATATTGTATATAAAAAAATATGTAAGATTATAGTGCTATATTTTTGGAAATGTCTTACGCTTTAAGAGTTTAGTCTAGAGATTTATTAAGACTATTCAATGCTAATATAAAAATGAGAATATAAAAATGAGAATATTTATTTCGTTTAATTAAATACTAAGCTCGTCGAATTATAATTATTATTTTAATTTGTATAAATTCAATTTACCCCTTAAAAGAAATTCAAGCCAAATTAATAACATGGACTTTCAAATATATTAAAAAATTCACCAATTTCTTTTAAATCAATATAAATGAAAAGAAAATTTCAAAAATTATATAGTATTTGAAAATTAAAAAAAGCTCTGTAGTAGCCTTTATTTAAATTTTGACAATGTAATCTTAAAATTTTATTACATGAGAAAAATAATAAGACTGGATTTGATTGTATTGATATAGAGGTGCGATCTGTAAACTAGTAATTAATATAAATAAACTGTAGTTTATTGTAAAACTGTAGTTAACTGTAGTTAGAGATGCGAACTGTAAATTACAATATGTATAAATAAACTGTAGTTTATTTTAAAACTATAGTTAACTACAGTTTTACAATAAACTACAGTTTATTTATATTAACTACTAGTTTACAGATTGCACCTCTAACTGTAGTTTTAAAATAAACTACAGTTTATTTATACGTATTGTAATTCACAGTTCGCATCTCTATATTGATATTGTCTTAGAATTTTATCAATCAATTGATTGTGATAAAATTAGAATTCAATAAAGCACATAGTTCTTAATCAATAAAATAATAGTAATATATAAGTTATTGTATTGGTATAATTTGGTTCGCAACACTACTTTAATATCAATATTAAATAATAATAATTTATTCATTAATTGAAAATGCACTAAAAAAGTTGTATATATAAATTGTTTAAATATATATAAATATGAATTTTAGTTGTTAGTTACTTTAAAATGTTAAGTTAACTTTAAAATGACCTATTTACAACAAACAAAAGAAAAGCTTTTAAAGGATTTGATTTCATCTTATGAAAATAAACATTTCTGTAATATCAAGATAATTGTTGATAGAAAAACTGAAATCATTTATACTAATTCTTTTATACTTAAGATACGTTCTGAATATTTTAAACGTGCATTATCACAACAATAGAATAAAAATAAAAAGTCAGGTGAAGATTTTGTTATATACAAGCCAAATACCACATCTGATTCAATGAATATTATCATGAGGTTTCTTTATAGCGCAGACTTCAATACAACATATGATACAAGAATACTTTTAAATACATTTTCGCTCGTGGACGAAATGGGCATTATGGAATTACGCAATGGATTGAAGTCATATTTCATTAAAAATATTATAACTATAATAGAAAACAACCCTATTTTAATTTTAGAATTTATTAAGATATTCATTTTGTATGATGATATGAAAAAAATATTGTTAAATGGTTTGTGTTTGAAACCGGAGTTATTATTCAATTTTAAGAATTAACAAATTCCTGAAAATATTCTCTATGAATTAATATCAATGTCAGAGTTACGTCTTGAAGAACACTTGTTATTAAGTAGAATTATTCAATGGTAGTTGGATACAAATAGGTTTCCAGATAAGAAATATTTAATAAAATGTATAAGGTTCAACCAGATTACTACTGATGAAATTAGTGATATAATTTGTAAATTTAAATGGAAAAATCTTAATACTGAAATACTTAACGAAGTCAACAACCATTACAATGCTTTTAAAAACAATTACTATGATTTTCGAGATGGTAATTTTTGCCTCAGATCTGAAATTTTAGATTTAGACACAGCCAAAAAGTTAGTAACTTGGATAAGCGGAAAAGAATATCATAAATGTTGGTACAAGTTTGAACTTTTATTTAATATGAAGCATGATGGTTTAAAGTCAAAAACCTTTCATAAAAACTGTGATAGAAAAGGGCCCACTATAGTAATTATTAAATTAATTGATAGCAATTTAATAGATGGTTATAATCTATTAGATTGGAAAGGTGAAAATGTTTAGAAAAAAACTAGTGATAGTTTTCTATTTCAAAAAAATAAAAACAAAAATAGTCATATATATAAGAAATTAAATATTAAATCAGGTTTCAAAGAAAAGGCCATTGGTTGTAGAACCGCAAATGGTCCGAGATTTGAAGACACCGATTTGTATATTCAGAATAATTCGAATTATTGTAAGGTTAAAGATTCAAATTATGAAAGTTTAAATATGTCAGGAAGTCATTAGATGATATCTTACGAGATTTTAAGGGTTATCAAACAAGAATAATATGGACCTCAGATTAGAATAGGCGTAGGTTTAAAATAGAGTCGCGTAAAATTAAAATTTAACTCAGACTGGCTTTGTGCGCTATACTGAAATACGTACTCAATTCTTGAATATATCCAGGTTTGTGGTGCAGATTGCCTAAACTATGAATCAGATTTCAAAATAAACATCTGTTTTATCAAAAGTCTCTTATTTCTTGAAAAATTGCATAGAAAACTACTCTTCGCGCACCAATTAAAAGTCCTTCTTGAGTAATTTTTAAAGATGGGTCCCAAAACCAAAACCTTCCTAAACCCTTTAGGTTTAGGCTATAGTATTAGCTAGTTTTGAATTTGATATTTTTTACCTAAATCCCAAACTTCAAACCAAAACTAAAATCTCAAACTGATTTGAAATCCTAATACAGGTAAAACTATAACCATTTGGCTTTGGAATTATTTAGAGATGCGAACTGTGAATTACAATACATATAAATAAACTGTCTTAGTTTATTTTAAAACTACAGTTAACTACAGTTTATTTATATTAACTACTAGTTTACAGATAACGGCCTTCAGAAAACAAACAAAAAGAGCTTTTAAAAAGCAAATTAAACAAACCCAGTGAATACGTATAATCTTATTTATGTGAGTTTGCTAGTTCAAGAATATATCTGCCAATAGATTTCATGAAGATCACTTCTGATTCTATTTTTAGATTTTATATACAAAAAAATCCAAAATCAAATAACTTGCTTTTATACTAAGACAATAACCCGAAACCCTATTTTCCTAGCAATTCCATATGATTATTATCTTTGTTCTTGAAATAATTTACATAAATAGGTAATTATATGCATACATATAAAGTACAAAAAAATGTGTAAAAAATGACAAAATAAAGGCTAATATTATAGAGATTTTATATCTGGCCTGCCAAGTCTAACTTGACTATCTCATATTAGAAGTTTCATCAATGATTCAAGATCTAAATTTTTTGAAAACTGCCCACTATTAATCAGTATAAGTAGATTTTCTATATTTTCCATTAACAGAATTCCTATTAGCACCGACTCATCAACTGATTTTTCTGTTAACTTTTCATAATTTTTTCGTTGATTGTGCTGATCTTATCTTATAAGTACAGAAGTATATTTAAAATCTTTATTCTGTTTTTGATATTCTAATTGCATTTCTTTAGCTTTTTGTTAATACTCTCTTCTCTGAGTTTGTTATTTAATTTACTCTACAAATTTCTAATAAAAATTAAAACTTGATGATTGCTTAATTGGAAGAACCTTTTTAGAATATAGTTTATATAAATAGAAAGAGAATCAGCTAACAATTACTTTTTTTTAGAGTGGCTTTTATAATAAACATCATTTAACATTAATAAAAATCGATTCAAGTTGTTCAAACATGATATACAAAATACAGATTAGTGCTAGTTTAAAAATAAATATAAAGATTTATATATATTGAGATCAGACCAACTCAATTCTTTGTTTAAGTGTTCATGATTAATTGGTATTTGAATTTTTATCATACTGCCAAGAAAAAACCTTTCAGTGTTCAGTTTGTCTAGGAAAAATTTATCATCAGGCTCTTTTAATTATAGTTTGTAATAACTTGCCACAAAATATAATTCTTTACCTACTTTTGTAGTTAGATATTGAAAACTATTTATTAAAATTTTTACAAAATAAGTTTATTATACTGTAATAAAAAATAAATAAGAGGTATATATAGTAACAAGTAAATCTTCTATGATTTAGTTTTTAATAGAATGAAATAAATAAAACATTTTATTTCTTATCATTATTTTTCTTTCGAATCTAACAGAAAATTCTAAGCAATAGATTTTGAAAATTCACATACGTATTATTATTGCTAATCTTTGAAATAAACCAATTATAGATACCACTTCACCATAAACACCGACGAAAAAATAATGGCTGGCCAAATTAAGAAGAAAAAGTCCTTTATTTAGGATGTCAAGATGTCTGAAAATCAAGTTTATACTTTTCTAATTATATTGGCACTAATGATTGAAAAGAAATTAAAATTTATAGCAATTCAGAAGAATCAAATTGTAAAAATATGACAAGACATTTAAGGAAGCAAATTCAACACTTGATAGATGAGGTAGAGCAATCATCAAACTAATAAAATCAAACTTCCCAAATCAACAAAACCTCCACACCCTAGAGATGCAAACTGTGAATTACTTCTCAATTGATCCTAGCTGCTGTACCAATTTTGTCACAGAAGATTCTCGATTTTGATTGGCTAAGACCAAAAAATTAGACTGAAATCAGAGTAGCAATACGGCCACCAGCCAATCAAATAATTTGTTGCATGTGATTATCGTGAACTCGTTAGCTGGTTGGTTAATTTGCTTAATATAGCAAGCATCTTTTCTCTAACCAATTACAAATAGAAAATCGTATATGTAGAAATTTTTAAGGCACAAATATTTGAATTTAAAAAATGAAATTTATTTCATTATAAAGCAAAGTTCAAGACTCAGGAGTAGAGGTGCGATCTGTAAAACTGTATTGTAATTCACAGTTTGCATCTCTAACTTGAGAGCGAGAGTGTTTAAAAAATGACACAAATGACAATAATGCTAAACCGGTTAGTGTTATGCTTTATTGACTTTATTGAAACAAAGTCCTGGGTTTGACAATAACTTTTATATAAATATACTTCGATTAAGAAAGCAGGCAATTCTAATATTTTTTCTTCCAGACTTTTTTTTTTCTCTTACGAACATGAAACACTATAAATGAACCTACTTTTTTTTTATCAATTAAAGAAAAAAATTACTTTATTTAATAGTATTTTTTTTTCATATATACACGACAGTGCACACGCATATACATGCACACAATTTAAAGAAGAGAAAAAAATAAATTAAAAATTAAAAATAAACTTTTAAGTTAACTTGGTTGGACTATTTTGGTATTGCGACAATTAACCTTCTTGAGCAAAACATCAGCTCTGAAGCTGTTACAGCTTCAATAGCTTGTTGGTTAACTTAATTTTCTGAAGATCATGAACCATCAATCAGAATGTTTAAATATAGTTAATTCAATAATATCTGAAACTGTTCTGTAGATAATGAAGAAATGATTGACAACGTTAGTATATTTTAGACTAATCAAATTATTATTTCTGCAGCAATGCAGTTCTTCAATTGAATATTAATGATAAAGATGATATTAATCAGAGGTATTCTCATATTAAGTATGAGTTCCAGATTTTAAAAAAATATCATTAACCATTATATAAAGATGTCATATATTATTATAATCAGAATGACATAAAGTTGTTGTAATAATAATCAAATAGAATACCCTTGAGTTAGTCATATATTAATTTAGTCTATGACCAAGAGTATTAATTAATGGAATTTAGAAAACTATCAAGATCATAAAATATATCAGTTAACATCACATCACCATTATTAAATTTTTAATAAAAGAAACTCATAAGATACGATCATAGTCAAATTATAAATATAAATAATTTCATTATTGAATGATAAATATATTAACACATTGATTTTTACTTTTTTTTCTCTTTTACTGTGAATAATTGTCAAAACTATAGAAGATAAAAAGGAAATTGTTAGAAGTTCGATTAATCTTATTTGGGAAGCTACTGATGGAGAAATTAAAAAAATTGTTTTTAATAACCAATCATGTTCAGCAGCAATTTTCTTAAGTGATGATACTAAGGATACTGAAAACTTGAACACACCTGGAGTAGTTCTAATTGCTAAAGAAACTTATCGAAAAATTATCAATGATCTAGCTGACATGAAGGGGAAAGATTCTGTTGCTACTGAAGATGTATTCAATATCAAAATATTTTTATTGTCGCAGATTATAACGAAATTGGATTAAAGTTCCTATTTAACCCTAACCCTAAAAAAATGTATTTTGAAAGCTTTCCTTATTTTACACTATACAAAATTTCATTTTTAATCAGATTTCATTTTAATCTGTCACATTTATTAACCAATTGCGCAGTAACATTAAAATTCCTTTAAAATAAAACTTAGGATCTAGATAGTGACAATTTATTACAAGTTGATGAGCTAATGTTTGATGCCCAAGCAAGTGAAAATGATACATTAAATTTGGAAGAAGGTCAACATACTGAAGATAGTCACATAAATGATTATTTTAAACTTTCAAAAAGGACAAAAAATAATGTAAGAGATTTTAGAAATTGTTAACGTTAAGAAATAGATGGTTTAATATCTATTTTTTTTTATTAAATTGATGGTTAATAAGAATGCTTCAAAATATCCACATGTTAATGAGAATCAGAAAGTAACAAAGATTTTCAATAATGTTAAATAAGCGTAATTAATTATTAACAAATCTCACAACCTCGCAAAGAGATAATGTCAATAATGACTTTGAAGAAACCAACAAATTATTACCTGATTCTTATTCGTCAATTAATATTACTATTGTCAATAATGAATTTGAAAGTAACGAAGAAATCGATGCCTTATTACCTGATTCTTATTCATCAATCAATGTTACTGCCAATACTTCGCAAGCAGTTAGCACCGATAATCAAATTTCAATTGATAACGAATACATTACTGATAATCAAGTAAGAAAATTTCATTAACATTAAGAGAATTTGATAATTTCCTGTAACTAAATTAATCTAAAAATCTAATTTATTATTTACAAATCACAAACTTAAGCAAGCTAAAAATGGAGAATTGGTTGAATCTTTATTCAATAATAAGGAAGTTGATGAATTATTACCTGATTCTCATTCGCCAATCAATGTTACTATCAATACTTCGCAAGCAGTTAGCATTGATAACCAAATTTCACCTGATAACGAATGTGTTACTGATAATCAGGTAAGAAATTTTCATTAAGAGAATTTGAAAGTTTCCCGTAACTAAGTTAACCTCAAAATCTAACTTATTATTGACAAATCACAAACTTAAGCATTATGTTATTATTTCATTACATCAATTTTTTTCAAAATATTAACTTTCAATTACTAATTATGTGAGTAGATTATGTAGAGTTATTGAAGGAAATAAGGAGAGTCAAGGGAATATCGAGAATTTTGCATATCAAGACCCAAGCAAAATATCTGAAATGTTTTTTCAGTCTATCAACCAATATTTTAAAAAAGAAGTTTTTGAAGTGTCAATAGAACCCGAACCATTTCCAAAGATAATAAAGGATGTTTGAAGCTGCTCTGAATATCTAAAAATTTGGGATTTGCATTACAATAATTGTAATAGATTAATCGAAATTCAAGATTTAAAGAAATTGGAGCTAATTTATTTATTAGCAAAAGTATTTTCAACATGATAAAAATTTGTTATCAAGAACAAGTCAAAGATATGTCATTAGTGAAAAATACTAATACCTGGAAGGGAAGGGATATTAAATCATGAATGAATAAATTCTGGAATACAAATTCACACACAATACTAATTAAGTGGACTAGTTGTTAGAAATTATGTCACTTTCTTTGGGTGACAAATATCACGCTTAAGGAAATAGTTGAAGTAAAGTTAGAAGCAGATTTTTTCGCAATGTAACAGAAATTGAATACAACTTCCTCATCAAAGAATTATTAGGGCAAGGTTTTCCTAATTTTTCAAATATAAAGACGAAAAAATTTTAGATTTAGTAGAAATTGCCAAGAAAATTTGCAACTAATTTAATTTTTATTATAATAATAGTGCATAATTAAATAAATAAAATTTTTGCTAGATTGTTGTACATGCTTAAATTTTAAAAATTTTTAATATTGTTTGGAGATGTTGCTAAAAATAAAAAAAAATTGGAATAAAATTAAAGTTGTTTTATTCATTAATTGATTTGAATTAACTATTTTAATAAGCATCATAAGCTTTTGTTCTAGAGGTGCGATCCATAAACTAGTAGTTAATATAAATAAACTGTAGTTTATTGTAAAACTGTAGTTAACTGTAGTTTTAAAATAAACTACAGTTTATTTATATGTATTGTAATTTACAGTTTGCATCTCTATTTTGTTCACTTATTACCAATATGTTTAAATGGTTTTATTAAATATTAAAATTTTTTAGTCTTTAAATTATTAAAATTATTAAATTAAAATAAAAGATCTTTTATCGAATTTGAATAGCTGGTTGTTGAAAAATATTCATTAAAAAAGTTAAAAAAATTTGACCGCAGTTTTTTTATAGGAGCCTAAAGTTTGAACAAAGATTACTCAGCACTAGCAATCCATAAGCTAGTAGTTAATATAAATAAACTGTAGTTTATTGTAAAACTATAGTTAACTATAGTTTTAAAATAAACTACAGTTTATTTATACGTATTGTAATTCACAGTTCATATCTCTACTCGGCACTGACCAAGTTTGATTAAATGTTTTTTATTTAATTCTATATATCCATAAAATTAAAATAAAAAAATTTTGATCGAACTTGATCAAGTAAGTGCCTGAGTAACCTTTGTTCAAAGTTTATATATCTTTGAAAAAGAAGCTGTGGTCAAATTTCTTTTTAAATTTTAATAAATATTTTTCGATAACCAGCTATTAACGAATTATTTAATAACAAACTTGCTGTAAAAATTTTTATCCAGCATCTTACTATGATCGGGCTCACCAAATAACTCGAGTTATTTGGCAGTATATTAATTTAGCAGATTTAATTTTTTAATGAAATTTGATTAATTATTTAATGTATATCGAATATTTTTTTTAAATTGTCAAATACTTATTTGTATGAATATTATTAAAAGTTTTTAGATTGCTAAATAGGGTGGAGTCAATAGAAATGGGACAAATTTATCATTATCTATATTCTCGAGAAAGTTGACTTTGAACTATCACAAGCTGAAGTTTCAATTGAATTTGAAAGTAAAGGCTATGATTTACCATCTTTAGATAATTTGCTAAAGTATTGTGAAAAACTTGAAGAATTTATTGATAAACTTTATTACAATGGGGACATAGAAGCTGGTAAACATTATATTCAAGAGAATGACAAAAAGTTCACATTTAGTAAAAATGTAGATGGTAGAATTAGATTTCATTATGAAAAGGCTATATAAAAGATAGCTTGAAAGAATATACGTATTTTATATTCTGCAATAACATTCAAACAAAGATTATTAACTCATCATTACACTTAAAATATATAATAGTTTTATCATGTTAGGCCTGCATTGAGGTAAGCTTGCTAATTATCAACAAATTTTACCTGGCACTATGGAAAAATTTTTGTGGCAGTTCCAAACTTCAATATGAAATTATTATTACTACGTAATATTTTATTACAGTTACCGCAATAACAAATTTCGAATTAGCCATATAATCACTTATAATGTTCTCGTATGCACATAAAAATATTCAAGTATATATAGCAATAAACCAATGTTAAAATATGAGATTCTTATTTCTAATTCTTAGACAATTTTTTAGAAAAATTTATTCATGGCAAGCGACCATGACTTTAGTCACAGGAGCAGTATTATCACGAAAGATCAGCAGATTACCGTCGCATGACCAAACATGTAAGAGCAAATCTTTAAGGGTTTAGTGGTCACCCGAAAGTGTATCTTTCTGGCTAGTAGTAGAGATGCGAACTGTGAATTATCAATACATATAAATAATGAGAGAGATTATAGACAACTTAACGACGCTGGTCCAATCGATTGTAGAATCAGACAATTACAAGATGTATTTTTGAGTAAAGGTAGAAGAACAGAAACATTACAACAAAAAAGAAGAGGAAAACTTTATTCAATCTTGAAAGAAAGAGAATTAAGAAAATACGAAGATTACGACGAATCAATTGAAAATTATTCTCGTTGGAATTGGTTTGAACAACTATCAAATGATAGACCATTAGCAAAAAACATACTCGCTATGAATGAAACTTTATTATCTCCCGAAAAAAATAAATTTACATTAGATAGCTTAA